TCCTCTCCTGAGTTAGGAAGTGAGGATAGAGATTTAGGAATGTGAAGGGCATGGTGATGACTTGGAGTAATCTGTGTGGAGAATAAAAAGGAAGAGATGCTTGGAAATTCCTTACATTAAGAGGTATGTGGCAGGCTGGCCTAATAGCACAGTGGTTAAGGATACTGGATCCCACATGGCCAGTTGCTGTTTGAATCCCAGCGTTGGCTGGCAAAACACACTGGACATGTGTGCATATGTGCCCCAAATCCTGATGGAAGTGGAGGAAAAGGGACTATAGTGTGGCCATACCCATTGAAGATGCTTCCTTCCTTTTTCCTCTCTCTGTGGTGAGTGCATGTGCCCTCTGGCAATTACAGAAATAATACTAGGGGCTGGCTGGTGGTATGGTGGTTAAGGTGCTGGACTCCCACATGGCCAGCCATGGTTCAATTCCTGGACCTGGAGGCTTGCTTTCCCTCTCCCTCTTCCTCTCTCTCTCTGTCGCTCTTTGGTCAAATTAAAAAAAAAAAAAGATAAATAAAATTAAATAAAATAATTACCTCTTTTTTTTTTCTTTTTTTTTTTTCTCTCTCGTGTGAGTGCCCACCCCCTATGGCAAAAACCTAAAAATCTTTTTTTTTTTTTTTTTTTAAAAAAGGGGGTTGGGGAATTAAGGTAGTAAGAGTGGAATGCCTAATACCTCTGATAGAAGCAAAGATGGGAGTAGATGGGCTGATCTGGTTTGGGAATTTGCAGAGTGGCTGCAGAGGTTATAGAGGGACTTGAGAAGGTGAGGATCATAGCATTACTATTTAAATGACATGTCATGTGATCTGGGCCACCAGAGGAGTGGCTTGTCAAGTTGATGGAGCTGGAGGAAAGGAACATATTTTGTGTATTTCTATTTGTAGCTCAGATCTTGAAATACAAGCTAGCTTTAAGAAGGTGGTGGCACATGTGTGACAGTGTTGAGGATGGAAAAAGTTTTCTGGATGCCTCTCAGAAGCTATTTATGGTCTATTTCATGGGTCTAGGTCAGGAGAGGAAGTGTAAACATTAAGAACCAAAGAGGCTGGGAACCAGCAGTTAGCGTAATGACTATGTTGCTGGATTTCCACGTAGTCGACCGCGGTTCGTGTCCCGGACCCGGTGGCTTAGAACTCACACCGGGCACGTGTACGCGCGTGCCCAAGATCCCGAGAGGAGAATGGAGGAGAAGGGATTGCGGCATGACCATCCCCCCTGGGGGGTGATTTCTCGCTTTCTGTCTCTGTCTCTCTCTGTCTGTCTGGCGAGCGCATGTGCCCTATAGCAAAAACCTCTCCAAAAAAAAAAGAACCAAAGGGGCTATTAGAAACCTTAATGATGCCTTCTCAGCTAGAGGGAGGTTACTAACACAGGTTCAGAGCAGCAGACTAAACAGACTGCAGCTAGTTTGCTTTGTGCTTTCTTAACCATGCTTCAAATGCTAAGAGCACTCGGAGTGGTTTGTGTTCTGGGTCAGAGAGAATCCGGGGCTCCGCTCAATTAGATCAAGGTTTGCTCTAGCCGATACACTAAGGATAATAATGCTCAATTCACCCAATATCTTTGGATTTGGGGAATCACCTAAGACCAAACTAGACCTCTCAAAATGGTGGCAATAGAAGTGATTTCTTCTAAGGTGAGAATGGGAGATCTTGGTGGAGCCAGGTATCCACCTGAGGCCAAAACATTTGGGCTAAATGTAAGAAGCTGACCCTGCTTGGCACACTGCATTGCATTTTATGGTTAGTGCTATAGTTGGTGTTTTGTGGGAGTGTGCCATAGGTCTTTCCATGTTCTTTTCCTCCCAGCAATATCATTGAAAGGGAATATTAGGTGCTGTTTTCAGAAGCCAGATGAAGTTAGTTTATGGCATCAATTTGAACTGAAGTTGATTCTTTGCAAATATTGAAAAACCCTCTGATTGCCTTTTTTGCCCCTACTCTCAAGCTAATGCTAATCAAAAATGGTATTTGATTAACTTCTTGAAACATATTAGTCAAATATGCCCTGAATGACTAATCTGATAAATTGGATAAAATTAATTGCTGGAGGTAATGAACTCTTGTGAATCACTACAATTCATTCTGTGAGTTTGCTCGAGCTGCATCATTAAATCTGGAGAGATAACAGACACTACAGTATAAACCCAGTTCTTGATTGGAGCAGAACTTGAGAGAGAGAAATTATCTTTCAGCGCTTTCTCATGCAATGCTATTATTGGGTAAACTTAAATCTGTTTGTCACTTCTTTTGCATTTGGAATGCATTTTTATATTTTACATGAACTTTATGGATGTGTTTTGTTATGTTCCTAATCATGATTTCTCTTTGAATTCATTGTCTGAATGAAAAATTGCTCTTGGTCTTTGTTCCCTGTTGTTGATCCATGTTAAGAAGGCAAGCACCTGATCCTGAGATAAGGTTGCAACATGGAAGAACTAGAAAGGAATCTAGCATTTAACTCAGCAATAGGTTCAGCCTCTCAGTGGAACTTGGAGCTTTGACCTGGGTGCCATGATTAATATTTAGCCTATGGAGAAATCCCAAAGGACTCTCAACAAGGATGTTTATAAGATCTGAAAAACACCACCAATAAGAAGCAATAAAGTCAGGGTTATTTCATCTGGAAGGAACAGGCTAAGGGAAGATGTAAATGTTGTCTCTAAGTATATAATGAGTTAGTTATTACAAAGATAGTGCTATATCCTCTTTTTACATACTCTGGATAAAATCAGGAAAATTGACTTAAATTGTAGCAGAAGAGATTTAAGTGAGTGAGAAGAATAAAAAAACTGACAGAAAGTACAAAGTGAGTTTCAAGCAAATGTGTGTATTTAACTATGCTCATAAAAATCTTACCATACATGAAACATTTGATGGAATAGTCTTATCTATTGGCAATGAGCTTATTTTTAAGATGCTGAGGTTTTATGAGCCTATAATTATTTAATTTTGTACTTTTAGGGTGTCAGTCACTTTTGCAATAAGCTCTTTGTAAAACCAAACATGATTCTTAATATGATTCTTTGCCATATGGGTTTTAGAAAATAGCAACTGCATTCCATTATTGAATATTGATGCCTATACTGATAGTGATATGGATGTTTAAGAGAGTGCTGCATTCTAAATAGCTATTTTAAGTTCCAGATTGATGATTTTCTTAAAGTCACTAGATGAGCATTCTTTAAAACTTGGTTTCTCATCATCGATGATGTCTTGGGTCATAGATCCTTGTTATAACAGATGAATCCTTCTAAGACAGATTAGCTATGAAGACCTCAACTTCTGTAGATTGGAGGTAGATGGAGATTCTGATGAAGAGCCTGGTTTCATTTGGCCCTCAGAGATCGCCACCTAGTGGATTGTCACTGTGTATGCTATGACATTCAGAGCCAAATCTCTTCAACGAAAAATGTTGGATATTTTATTTGTAAAAAGTTTGTGTTTAAGAAAATTGTTTTTGGTTCCCAGTATATTATACAATTAACTAATACAATGCATTTTATTTATTAAAAAACAAAATTCCATCAAAACATCTATTAATCTAAATCTTTTCTAATACTATGGATTAAGGAAACTTTAAAATTTATAAAAATAAAGATCAGGCCATCTGACAATTCTGAAAACCAAACTATCAAGATTCTGAAGTAACTTTCTACATGGTATAGTGCCTTCCATTTATAAAGCTTTTAAAGCAGAATAAATATGAACCTTCATTTTAAAGACACATTTCAAATTTTATTTGAAAATTATGGGGTTAGCAGGTGGTGTGGTACTTAAGGTGCTGAAGACTCCCAAATGGCCAACCATGGTTCAAGTCCTGGACCTGGTGGCTTGCTTTCTCACTTTCCTTCTCTCTGTGTGTCTGTCTTTCTCTGGTCAAATGAAAATTATTGAATGAATAAATAAAAATAAAATAAATAATTCTTTTTTAAAAAACAATAAATCTGTGTTTTAGCTGTTGGTTTGTCATATATATGGCTTTTATTGTGTTCCATTGAGATTACATCAGGGTAAAAAACTTCTGCACAGCAAAGAAAATAATAAATAGAATGAAGAGACAACCTACAGGATGGGAGAAAATATGTGCAAATGATGCTTCAGATAAGGGATTAATAAACAGAATATATAGAAAACTCAAACAATTTACCTCCAAAAAATCCCAAATAATTTAATTAAAAAAATGGGCAAATGAATTGAATAGACAACTCTCTAAAGAAATGGAAATGGGGAACCAGCAGTTGGCGTAATGGCTACGGTGTTGGACTCCATTTAGTTGATCGTAATTCAAGTCCTGGACCCAGTGGCTTAAATTCATGCCAGATGTGTGTACGTGTGCCCAAGATCCCAAGAGGAGAATGGAAGAGAAGGGATTGCAGCATGACCATCCCCCCTGGGGGTGATTTCTTGCTTTCTGTCTCTCTGTCTCTCTATGTCTTTCTGGAGAGTGCACCCCAGCCTCAGCCAGCCAAGATCATGGGCATAAACTAATGCTCCAGGATGCAGGGAGTGACTTCAGAACTCAAACCCAGCATCTTCCAATATGGCTTCAGCATCACAGAGCATTGCATTACTGCTGCACCACTGCAGTTGGCCTGGGATATAATTCTTAAAGTAAACCCTTACATTGTTAACATTTTTCCCCCTGGGCTTGTGAAAAGAGAATTTAATTTTTCTCAAAAAAGTGTGTACTATTACTTCCTTGATATATTTTTCTGTAATGAGTTTGTAGCTCTTAAAAGGAATTATAATCAAACAACATATCTTTCCCCTATAATAGAAGTAAGCTCTATTTATAATATACACATTTTTAAAAAAATCTCTGTTGAGTTAAATGTAATTTGTCAGATGAGATTGTTTTTATGCTAGGAAGAAATTTTTCATCCGTTCAGAATTATATTCCTTTGTAAATCTTGCCTCTGATTATCAGGGTCTATGCAGAATGATTTGTTTGACCAGGGTTTGTTTTCCCCTCTCCTTTGTGTTTCCTAGATACATTTCATATTGCTCTTCAGTCGACAAGGGAAATTACGGCTGCAGAAATGGTACACCACACTTCCTGACAAAGAAAGGAAAAAGATCACCCGGGAAATTGTTCAGATTATTCTCTCTCGTAGTCACAGGACAAGCAGTTTTATTGACTGGAAGGAGCTAAAACTTGTTTATAAAAGGTGTGAGTAACTTTATGAGAACGGAATTTCTCATTATTGCTTTGGTTTGTTCTAACTGTGAACATTTCAAATTACAGTACCCATTCCATTGCTTACTGAAAACTTCGAAGGCTGGGAACCAAATGTTTGTATGAATAGACTTACTAGGAAAGGACTCTCATACTAAATGAAAGGTCTTTCATGTACTTAGATCGATTCTGGGTGCTTAAACTATACATTGATAGTGCACACATGCATTCAACAAATACTTTATGAGTATCTATTATATTCCCAGAATTATTCTGTAGATGCAGAAGTGAATAGAACATATAACATTCCTGCTCTCTTGCAGTATGCCTATTTATTAAATAAAATATTTGCAGTCAGTAATAAATACTATAGAAAAAACTCAGGATAGTGTGATAGAGAGATGGGGAGTGTGTTCAGTGAGGCGGTGCTCACTAATATTTATAACGCCTTTGCAGGTAAGTGAACTGAGGACTCAGGCAGTTTAAATAACTAGCCCCCAGGTAGTTATTAATGGTAATTGGTAGAACCACGATTCAGATGCAGATATTTCTGGCTTTAAAGCCTATAGATTCTTTTTACTGCGCTTGCTTGCCCTTGCAAAACCATACTGCAAAGGGACCTCTGTATATAAAGGAGAAAATTGATGCCAGATAGGTAGAGTGACTTTGCTTATGAAGACCCAGGTAATTGCTGCCTAAGCCAGGAGCAGAGCACAGCTGGCCTAGCCCTGTATCCAGCATCATAGTGTAACTTCCAGAAGGAAATGCACGTAACAAATGCTCTTGCATAGAGCATTTATTAGATCCAATGGAAAAAACAGAGGTAACCTCCTCAGTCTGATAGCCAGTGGAGTAAGTTCCCAGCAAATGCTCTCTCTTCTGGGTCCCAGGTCAGAGCTTGTCAGGTTGAGGATGGAAGACACATACACAGTGATTGATATAAACTGTGAAGTGAGAAGGGGACTGTGGGCCCCTGAGATGCCTGGCTAGGGGTTGGGGCAACTTACAAGCCCAGGAGAAGGACTTGAAAAGATACCCTGACTGCCTTGGGTCAAAGTATATCGTCCCCCTGATAATAGCTCTTCAAGGCAAAATTTTGGGGGAGCCTTGCCTATAATTAACAGAAGCAAGTCAATCACCACAATATTTTTATACATTCTGTTTTATACTTTGGGAAGATATTGGATGTGATGACTGATGATTTCATTGAAAAATCATCTTCAGATTGTTGAATGTATCATTGTATTTTACTTTATTTATTTTTTTTTTCTTTTCAAGGTATGCTAGTTTATATTTTTGCTGTGCAGTAGAAAATCAGGACAATGAGCTCTTGACACTAGAGATTGTGCATCGGTACGTGGAGTTGCTGGACAAATACTTTGGAAATGTAAGTGCTGCCGTGGCCTGTTAGAACTGGTCGCCATCTCTGCCTGAGCTCTTCAGTTTGGTCTCTCATCACATTCCTTTTCCCTTTCAAGTCCAAAATAGGAGTTGCATCTGTACCTGGGATCACGCCAGTCCACCTACTGTCAGAATACAGGGCTCTTCTCCTTCCTCGTAACTCTTCGTAAATGAAAACCCCAAAGCTTCCAAGAGACAGGCGTGCCTTTATCTTCAAGTCAAAAATACACTGGAGACCTTGTTCCAGTGAATCAGAATCTAATTATGAAAGATTCCTTGATAGTCTGTCCCTTTTTATTCGTTGGCTTTGTCATCTCTCTTTTAGTTTGGTCTTTTTTCCTTTCTCTGGCATTTTTCCCCCTAAGTTACAGTTACAGTATTCTTTAATATTATTTTATATGTAAGAAAAGAAAAAGCACCAAATAAACAAAAAACTCAAATCCTTTCCCTTCACATTGCTATTCAATTGTTTTTTTTTTTTTTTTACATTGATTGCCCAGTCATGAAGGGACTTCAAAAGCTCATAAAAAAGTGGTACTAAAGTATAAATTTACTTTTATGCAAAAAAATGTGAAATCCAGTATATTTTTTTCACAACAGGCATCTTTTTTTTTTTAAAGAGAGTTTTTTTGTTATTTATTTATTTATTTATTTATTTATTTTGCTATAGGATGTGGATGCTTCCCAGAGAGACAGAGAGAGATAGAAACAGTAAGTGAGAAAGTGAGAAACCATCTGTTGGGAGGATGGCCTTGCTGCAATCCCTTCTCCTCCATTATCCTCTTGGGATTTTGAGCACACAGGCACAAGCGCCTGGCATGAGTTTTAAGCTGCCAGGTCCAGGACTCTAACCAATGTCAACTATGTGTTGAGTCCAAAGATGTAGCCATTAGCCCTCTGCTGGTCTCCACAACAGCATTTTTAAACGACTGCTTGTACTATACAAGGTGCCTCAATCCATTCATTCTGTAGCAGTGTACAGCATGGATTCTACTCTCCTGCTTTGAGGAAATGATGAAGTTACCATTGAGCCCAACCTACTGTCAACAAGAGCAAGCCATTTTAAGTCTTTACCTCTCTGCACCAGTGGATCTTTGATCATCACAATGTTTTCTTTATTTTGACATTGATATCTTCCAGTTCTTGTATCCTGAAGGCCCCTCCCTGGTTTATTCCACTGAGCTCCTTGCTGTCTCTCACCCACTGCACACCTTCCATGTCTTCCCACTCTCCTTGAGTGTCTGTTGACTCTCTCCTATAAATCTGTTTGTAGGTATTCCTCTTCATTTTGTTGGTGATGTTCTTCATTGGGCTTCTCATGATCGAGGACTGAATTCATCTTCTGAAACCCTGTTCTGTTTTGTGGTTGGGATTTATTATCTTCCAGGCTCCTTCAGTATTAAAGGGCAGTGATTTTCTTTTCTTTTTTTTTTTTTTTTTTTTTTTGTCTTTCTCTGTATACTTTACTGTAATCAGCCTCTGACTATTCAAATAGACTAAAATGCATCTTCTTTCCACTCTTACTAGTATAGGTTTACTTAGGAGTTCATTTTTGCTATTCTCTAAACTTTGCATCTGGCCTTTTCTGCCTCTGGGTTCTTCCATGTTTCCCTTATTGTCCTGTTGTTACCTCCTTCTTTACAAGGCTCAGGTCTTGGTTTGGTATTCCTTCACAGTCACTTTCCATCATCTGCCATGAAGGAAATTCAAGCCTTCTACTCTGATGCATAAGCTTTCAGAACACTGATCCCAGAGCACTCTTCCAGCCTTGTTGTTCCTCTTCCCATCCCTGGCATAGTGACATGGAACAGAGCCTTGTCATGTCCCCAGCTGGTACAAAATTTACTTGACCACCATATTGCGAGTCTCTCAAGACCATGACCCATCACTCATCTGTTTGTATTCCACCACTTGTGAGCAGCTGTGGGCCAGATGCTAGCAAATGTTCCAGAAGCATTTAATCCAGTTCATATTCTCAAGAAATAAATTCTTACATTTGGAAAATGTTTTCTCCTAAAACTCTCTTCCCTATTCCCTTGCTCAGTGAAAATTTTTATGAAGTGTTAGGAGAATTTTCATCTAGTAGAGTTTTATACATTTGCTTTAATTAAATAAACAGCATTTGCAGCATTAGTTGTGGTTTTATCCAATTTATTGCATCACTTTTCTAAAGAATGAATACTTTAAAAATCGCACCCACCCTCCAAAAATTTATAAGACCTAAAATGTTGGGGTGGGGATTTCACATTTTCAGACCACATATAGAAGTGATAAGACAGGCCAGCTTTTCTTTCCCTTTCTCCTGGCTGAAGATTTTTTTTTTTTCTATATGGCATGTGCACTCACCAGAAAGACAGAGAGAGAGAGAGAGAAAGAGAGAGAGAGAGAGAAATCATCCCCCAGGGGGGATGGCCACTCAATCTCATCTCTTCCATTCTCTTCTTGAGATTTTGGGCATGCATGCACATACTCCAGCATAAGTTTCAAGCCATCAGGTCTGGGACTCAGACTTTGGTTGGCCTGTGGGAGTCCAACATATTAACTACTGTGCCACCTGCTGACCCCTCATGAGATTATTTTAATGCTTTCTATTATTCAAATGAATTCTGACATTTTTGCTCTTTCTTTTGAAACTGACTACAGACTTTGCCTTTTGTGAGGGCCTAAAACAGTTTATCTGAGGCCTGGTCTTCCCCTAGCTTCTCTTTTCCTCATTTCTAAACTTTGATTTGATCTGTTGTTTCTCTAAATTGAACCAATTAAGATAATGTAAATTGGGGCTGAATTTTGATTTCAGTCCGTCTTATCAAATTTCAGCCTGACATCTCAAAGCACATTGCTTCTCTGTTGAAGATACTTTTATAGTTTTATCAACTGGACTAGAGAGAAATGTTTGCATGTTGAAATATTCAGTTTGTAAGCTAAATAATGTGATTGAATGTAAAAGAGAAAATGAAATAAAAAAGTTAAAAAAAATAAATTTAAAGGGGCCAGCAGGTGGCATGGTGGTTAACGTGCTGGACTCTCAAATGGCTGACTGTAGACCTGGTGACTTGGTCTAGTCCTTGACCTGGTGGCTTGCTTTTTCATTTCCCTCTCTCTCTCTCTGGTCAAATGAAATAATAATGATAATAATAATAATAAAAATAAAATTAAGTAATTAAAGAAGAGGAAACTGTTAATATTAAATACAGTTAAAATATAAGGAGAAGCAGATGACTTTCTATGTCTCTTATATTAATTTTCCATTTTGTTTTAGGATACCTTTAGAAGGTCTTTGTCATGAACCAAAATTTAATTTATTACAAAAATTCAATGAATCTTTCATTAAGCTAAGAGCAGCTAAGAGCAATTCCGGGCTATATGCCCAGTAGGTATTCAATTCTTATTAATTAATAGTGATGAGTAAAGCCTTCCAGTACTGATTCTCATTGACATTGTCTCAGGAATATTTCTCTTTGGTTTTCTTTTCCTCTTGTGTTAATATTAAAAGTTCCCTTGAATTCCGTCTTTTTATTATCCAAGGGAAAACTTTGTATTGAGCTTCTCTTATGATGTTGGAAAATATTATCTTTCAAAAACAGATAAATCAAAATCTCTGGCTACTAATTTAAGTTATGTATTTTTTTAGCACTTTTCAATTCCAAGGAGATTTACAAGGATTATCTAGTTAATCTTTCGATCTTCAGTAAGTAGCATTAACCCCAATTTATAAGGCTAAGAGGAAATGCCTCAAAGTTTCACAGTAGATAAGGGTCTGTCAAGGATTTAGATAGTTGCCATATTTTCCCATTACAGACTGCATGTGGATTTTTACTGATACACTCAGAACGTGTAGCTGTAGCTGTCCCTGAGAGGGACAGCTTTGGAACTTGATTTAGGGAGTTTTTTGTTATAAGGAAAGGAATACTATGTGTCCTGCCAGATGCTGGTGCCAGCTCACTCACTAAGCAGATCTATGATTTGAGGTCTGTCATCTGTCTCCATTTTACAGATGAGAAAAATGATGCTCAAGAAGGTTAATAGAAATATTTGCTTTGCTTTTCTAACCTCAGGGGGTTGTTATGAGGGTCAAAAGTGAGTAACAATACCTTATAAACTATTCATTGCTATAATTGTTTTTATTTTATATAGGTCTTTATAGTATTTATGTAGTAGTTTCTTATTATTTGAAGCATTTATTGCATGTAACTTGAGACTGGTTGTACTACCCTTGGTACATAATTTTAAAAGGCTAGACTCTATCCAAAAAAGACTGAGTTGGTGAAATGCCAGGAATAATCTCACTACACCATGTGTTCTGTAGAAGAGAAGACCTTCAAGTCAAATAAAGCACAAGGCTAGGAAGTTGAAGATAATGTTAAGTGATTGGTTTTTACCCTTTGTAAGTTTTAATCCAGAATCTAGACACATGAAGAATAAACAAGGAAGGAGGCTCATATGTTTATTAGGTTGGCAAGGAAGAAGAAAGCCATGTATATCTGCATAACTAGATGGAATAACTTGAGCATTGGGGCATGTTCTGCCATACTGGGATAGAACCTCCGGATGGAGTTCAGAATTGAGTAGTTGGTGTAAGGTTCTCCTGGGACGTTTTCTCACAAGGTGTTAGATTCAAAGAATTACAAGGGTAGCATTTTGGAAGTGCTGCATATGAAATAGTTGTTCATTTGTAACATCCTCTGCAATGCCAATGGAACCCATACATCCATTTTTCTTATGATCTAGAGATAGTAAGATATATATTAAGGTGTGTGTGTGGTATGTATCTAACTCTGCATGCACTTTACCTTATCCCTTAAGACCAGATGCAGTAAGTTAATTACCCTACATGTGCCAATGGACCCCCTACAGGCTTGCAAATGCGTTGCTGCTCTCAGAGTAGGATATAAGAAGTTCCTAGAGAACATGCACTAGCATCTAGCGCAAGTTCATTTTGCAGGATTCTGATTGTTGGTTTGTCCTAGTGAGGCTCCTGTCTGGCTT